AAGTACACTGGGACGTCATCAATGCACCGGTCGATTGACTTGTGCGTGTGACCGTCCGCCAATGTGACTTGCGTGGGCTGGGACTTCCTTCGGACTCGTGGGCCAAGGCCGGCGCGTACCATGAAGTCCTGACTCATGTAGTTGGGAGATGCTCCGCAATCGATCAATGCGCTGCAGGTCGCCTCTCCGATCTGAATGCGTACGTATAGCAATGGTGCGTCGATGTCGTCATACCGTTGCGTCTTGAACTCGCGGTCGATCTTCGCAATGTAGGCGTGAAGGTCGACAACCTCTGCTCCGGCGTCCATCAACGGAGCCGGTACTGCAGTGTGCAAGTAATCCCGCAATTGTGCCTGGAGCACGTTGCAATGCGGTTTCGATAATCGACCGGACCGGGAAAGGGGCATCCATTGGAAGTCCGCAAATGTCAACGGGTCGAGCTCTTCAAGTCTTGACCATGACGTTGAATCCCCGACGGTAGATGGCGGTGAAGCTGCCGAATCGGTTGCCGATGGTGATGAAACCGTGCATGCGGTAGATTGTTGCACGTGGAGCGGTTGGTCCAGCGGTGGGACCAAATGGAAAGCATAGTCCTCGTAAGCATACCGAGAACTTACGACATTCGCATCCTCCCCAGATGTGTAGGAGGTCGCTAGCAAGGTGGCCGAATCTGGCGAAGTGGGGAGTGGAGTCGCCTCACCTCCTGCGACACTCAATTTCCCGAGTTAAGACGAGGCCGCACATCCTCCTTGGCCTGATCCTGGCAAAGGGAGGTCTTGTGCTTGGTGCTGTTGCACCAGTAACAGCAGCCGTAACGGCCGCGGTACTTGTACTCGGCCTCGGTCAAGTTGAACTTGACCCATGGTGGTGCTGGTTGTCCGTTTCCGGCCTGCGATGCTGGTTTCGCCTTCCCGTTCACTCGGGGTTTGTTGTTGCTTCGCAGGTGGACAGCAGCCACCTGATCTCCCTCACGTGACGCTTGGGTGGCTGCCGGGTCTTCCACAGTGTTGTCCGATTGGACTGCAGCGAGCTGCTGCTGTCGCGGACCAGTTCTCACCTTCTCCACGTAGGTTGGCTGCCACGTTGACTTCTCGTGTGCAGCCGCCCTGTTGGTCTTGATGATCTCCCTCGCCTTGTCAATGATCTCAGCGAAGGTTGCATACTGCTCGCGATCACCAAGTGTCTGGCTCAATGCAGCGCATGACCTGTTGTAGAACTCACGGCGCAAATGCGGAAATGGTAAGTCAAGATCGGGCGTTGCYGCGATCTTCTGCCATTCCGTGAGCCAGTCGCGTGTTGCTGTGTTGCCTTGAGTCATGGTGAAGAGACAGTTGATGGCGAGTGCTGGTGCGTCGTCGACGATGAACCGCTTCTTCCACAGCCGTGTTAACTCTTCCCATATGATCTTGTCTCTCAGATTTGCGACGTCGACGCCGTGGGTGGCTGCCAGGTGGGTTAACCAGATCTGGCATCCGCCCTTTGAGTTCATGAACAGGGCGCCGATGTACGTGTGCTTGGCGACAGGCAGAATCTGAAGTTGCGTTGTGAAAGCTTCCCACCAGAGCACCGGGTCCTGATGCGTGTAGTCGTCGAACTTCTCAAGTTGAAAAGTTGGCACCTTGTATTGCTTTGGATTGTTGCCATCCGTGTTCGACACAAGTCCGAGCTCAACACCGTCCACATTTCCCACTAATTGCTGATGGTGGTCGGCGCAGCGAAGGTGCTGATGTCGCCGAGCATTGCGACGACGTGGTCGACGCGTTGCTCCAGTTGGCGGTTAGAGGGTGCAGTACACGGGAATTGAGTGCCCGTGTAGCATCCTCGTGGCTCTGCACTGTCCGGCGGAGGTTCGCCAACTCCTGGTGTTGTGTCTTCAGATCCTGGTACTGTTGCTGCAGTTCCTGGTTCTGTTTCTCTAACTCGGACTGTTGGTAGTTGCAAGTGTACAACAACCGTGTCACGAGTTTGGAGAGGAACTCCTTATGCTGCTCTTCCGGTGTCGCGTCGTCGCCGTTGGACGGTTGAAAGTGCCAGAACTTGATTCTTTCGATGCTGGCAGCTTCATGCCTCCGCAGCAGATCCTGGGCTTCCTTGCGGCGTGCCTGGGCATCTGCGTCTGCTTCGGACTATAGCCGCTGCTTCTCAGCTATTGCCGTTGCTTCAGCCTGTAGGAGGGCGGCCTCGGCTGCCAGCTGGCGCTGTTCCTCAACCTCGATCAGAGCGAGCTGAGCCTGGAACCGCTGTTTGTAGTCGGCAAGAGACTAGTTGGCCTGGCATGCCCAGAGCTGCGCCCGTCATGGTGGCAGGGCACTGCTGACGTGGCACTGTTACTGCTGACGTGGCACTGCTGCTGACGTGGCACTGCTGACGTGGCACTGCTGACGTGGCACTGCTGACGTGGCACTGCTGACGTGGCACTGCTGATGTGGCACTGCTGATGTGGCACTGTTGACGTGGCACTGTTGCTAACGTGGCACTGCTGACGTCATTGCTGACGTGGCACTGCTGACGTGGCACTGTTGCTATCGTGGCACTGCTGACGTGGCCCTGTTGCTGATGTGGCACTGCTGACGTGGCACTATACCAACCCGGAAATGCATGCAAAGGGTGGGTGGAGAGGGAAAACGCAGGTAGGGAAACCAACCCAACAATACTTTCCTCCCGGTCCTAATCAACAGATAAAATAAAATAAAAAATAAAAGAGGACTACTTCCTTTTTTTTTTTTTTTGTATATATCTGTCGATCTGTTATGAGTGAGACATGTCAGAAGAGTACTATGAACGAGCTCTAGGCTAGGTTCCGCAAAGTTTCGCTTTTACAAATGCGATCTTGAAAAAAAAATTTGTGAGATAGAATAGAGATGCGATTTTCAGAAAAGAACTAAATCCCGTTTCTGAGAATATGGCAACCTCCGAATATGCCTATCGAAATGTTGGTAGGCTTCGCAAGATTTCGGTTTTCAAAAAAATTTTGCGAGATAGAACGGAAATTCGATTTTCAGAAAAGAATAATTCCAGTTTCCGAGAATATGACCACGTCTATCGTTATCCCAATATGCCTAGAGAACGAAATACTAACATCAGAAATTTCAGCTAT